CTCAAAAATTAGGTTTGAACCTCCACTTGAATGAATTCTTGCAAATCTCCATCAATTCTCTCACAAAAACTATGAATTCTCCTCCTTTGATGAAAATAATTGATGAATAATGGCTTATAATATGTGCATCCCATCCCCCAATATATATTCTGCTGTCCTCTATTTGTAGCAGCTGAAAATTGGTAGAAAATCACGTTCAAATTGACTTCCAAAAGAGTTCTAATCGGATAAGGAAAGTTGCATTCGCGCGCAGATTTTTTGTCTCTGCACGGCGGTCAGTATTTTGTCCATAACTTTCTCGTCTGATATCCGATTGAAACAATTCAAAGTGATGTAGAAATATAACTTAAAGGGCTACAACTTTGGTAGAAATATAAATTTCTCAATTCGGACGTTTACTATACCAAAAATGGGTCTCAATCTTCGACTAAAAATCTGGAATATAACTTATACGATTGGATATTGATTGTGATAAATTCCATTCCTTTTTGAGTTCTAATTCCACCCAATTGTCTCCTAAACATCTTCAAAGTATCATCTTGTGGTCCAAATCAACTATTGAATTTGCAATTTGATCCTCAAACTTTAAATTGTGCAATTTTTCACCATTTTTCGCTTCTTTCTTTTCATTCCTCGTCTAACCATTGAGTTTTACCTATATAAATTACAATGCAAAAATTTAGGATATATTTTGTAAAAAGAACTATCAAATATTTTTATTTTAGACCCCAAATAAGTGTATAAAATACACTTATCAATTAGCTTGGAAATTCAAAGACTCCTGACAAGTTTGTAGACTGGGATTAATGGATAAGACACTGCAGCAGTGATTATTCAAGAGAGTAGATATCTGAGGGTAACATTTGGTGTTTTGGTGAGGCAAGTCCAGTTGATACAACCCTTTTTTAAGCTTCCCTTGCAGCATCACTTCCCTCGTTAGCTTGTCCTTAACAAAACAGTGGTTAGAGTGAAATTCCATAAAGACCTGGTTGTGAAAAGTTAATTGTGATACACTTATAAGATTTTTCTTAATTTCAGGTACATGAAGTAATTTATTTAACACAAGTGTTTTGTGGTTCAGGGTTGGAAGATGACTTTTACCAAAGTGTGATATGTGCAGTTTATTTCCATTTCCAACCATGATTTCTTTCCTACCAGTGTATTCATTAGCTGAAGTAAGGTTTTGCTTGTCTCCAGTGATATGGTTGCTAGCTCCGGTGTCGACAAACCAAGCAGGATCATTAATTGTGTTGGGAGATGCCACAAAAGCTGTTGGTGAAGGTTGTAGTTTGGCCTCTGATTTGGTGGTGCTCATGTGTACCTTTCATCATATCTGAAGTTGCAAATGTTTGCCTTATATCCAAGTTTTCCAACACTTGACATATAGGTCTCTCACCGCCACTGAAGGTACCTCATCTGTTCCTTCCTCTTTTTCCACCTCTGAAGCTGCTATAGCCAGTGAATCTTCCATTAGAAGGTGGTCTGTAGGATTTGTTATGATGGTAGTTGGAACCAAACCTCTGAGGAAAGTTCACCGAGGTTTGATCAAGGTTTATTCCTTCCATCTGATTTTTTACCGTGTTGAGATACTCCAGCCTACTTTCAAAAGTCATTAGTGTTGATTGGAGTTCTCCCCATGTAATGCTCTCTAATGTTGATCTAAACAACAATTGGTGTGTACTCTTCATCCAGACTTGCCACAACTTGAGTAACTAAATCAGAATGAGGAACAACTTTTCCAGCAATTTCAAGGTTGTCTGCCAGCAGCTTAACTTTGTTCAGGTATTGATCAATGCTCATAGCCCCTTTTCTTGATTTATGAAGTTCACCAGAAAGGAAGGTGACCCTAGATCAGTTCTGAACTCTATAACCTTCCTTCACTGCTGTCCACTATTCATTTGAGTTCATGGCTCCCATGACTCTCATGGCAATGTCCGGAGTCATAGAGGAATAAAGTCAACCCATTAGTAGTTGCTCTGTTGACATCCACTGATTGTACTCAGGATTCTTGGTCATTTCAATGCTGGTTCCAGCTTCACCAGCTACTTGAGTTCCAATGAATTCTGGAGGACACATCTTTGTCCCCAGAATGTAGCCTTCAAAGCTGTGTCCCCGGATGATGGGCAGTATTATGTTCTGCCATAGAAGGATATTGTTTTTGTCAAGTTTAACCGATACTACTTGGGTTAAATTCACACCAAAGGGTGAGGGGTGATTGTTCCCTTGCATTGGACTAGTGTTGCTGCTTGAGATGGATGCAGGATCAGAGTTTGCATCAGTATTTTGTGGGGCTTTGGCCATTGTCTTGGCTCTGATACCAAGTTGGAAATGCAAGGTAATTGAATGATAATTCAGCTCAAGGATATAACTGCTTCAACATTGTGCTGGTATAAATAATTACAGCAAGAATATTCTAGATGGTACAAAGGTGGTTAGCTCCTTGAATTAAGGAGGCTGTTAGAATCTATTTACAACAGAAAAGTAGTGGCAGCATTTGGAATGTAACAGAAATTAGACAGCAAGGATTGCTGCTGGCGAATATGCTGATGACAAGGCTGCTGATGTGGAGTTGAGTGCTGAGCTAGAATCAAGTATAACTCTTGACAACTGGTCATGTCTCAAAACTCTATTGCTCAGCTTTCATCTGTTTCTGTATTGTTTCATCAAGTTTAATCTATTTTATTTCCTGAATGAACCCCTTTTAGATTTGATAAAAGATTTATGCTGTGTGTTCTATGGGATCAGTTAACCACAAACATCAAAGTTTGCTCCATTTGGTTATTTCTCTTGGGCAATGGTTTTAACTATAACAGTTCTTTTTATCTCTTTCACTTTTATATGATGTAAGAAGATTGATTAATGTTCAAATGAATAAGAGAAGACGCGATTAATGTTAAAAATAGGTTATTTTATTTCTCCTTATTTTGGTCGTGAAACTAGTCTTTCAATTTTGAGTTGACAACAAAAAGATGGATAAAAGTATGAAAAAGAATTGTACAATTGGATTCCCGGTGTATTCCTATTTCCCGAAAGTGTAGTTCGAATTTTTCAGATGATGCTCCCACCTGGAATCACTGCACTTCTTAATATTACAACTATCCCTCCTGAGATGATAAATCCATTCTTTTCATTGTTTCCATCTTGCACATTATCCCTGTTTATAATCTGCATTTCATACGTACATGTATAAAAATGCATTCTATTTTCAACATTTTCCTTCACGGGATCACTAATTTATATTCAAAATAGGAAAATTTTGATCGAATGATTGCCCGTACCATAACATTTCTGCCGATCCTTGCATTCTTGTCAATTATAGCTTTTCTTATGTGTGAACCTTCTCCTATTCCAACAGGAATGCAGACATCTTTCTCTTCGCCGGCCCCATTCTGGACATTGTTTGTCTGTTACATAGTTACATTCAAGAAACAAGATATTCAGGACAAAAGGTGACTAGTTAAAATTCACTATTCTTGTTGATCGAATAAAATTGCAGAAAAAAATGAAAAGTTTTTTTGTGCTTCTTACTTGATAGGTATCGGAACCCATAATGACTGAATCTTCGATGACGACTCCCTCACCAATTATTGTTCTCATTCCTACAACCGTACCTTTTATCATGCATTTCTGTTTGTAAGGGACACGAGAAACGACGGATCAAACAGTTTTGCATATATCGTTTGTGATATGAATCAAAAATTTATGTATATTGGAATTCTGCTTCTTACGCTGAGAATGCAACCATTCCCAATGACAGAATCTGTAATAAGAGCATCGGTTATTAGTGTCGGAGGCAGATTCCGAGGTAAAGTGTAAACTGGAGAGTCTTTGTCGTAGAAGCTGCTTACAAAAGATGATGTATTCAGTAAAAGGATGCATAGATTTTATTCTTTCATCTGTTCTGATATTTGAAGTTACTTACCTGTATGCATTCTTTGTTTTTCTGGTGCTTTCCATGTTAGCTCGGTAGTAAGCTCCTATGCTTCTCATGTCTTCCCAAAAACCATCAAATTGATGAGCACAGATCTAGACATTACATGAAAATAAGATTTCCTCGTATTATATAACGTGGGAAACCGATGGAATCCATGAATTAATAAAAGTAATTTAAAAACAAAAGCCAACCTTCATTCCTAGGGAAATTGCACCTGGAATTACTTCACTTCTCAAGTCATTCGCTAAAGGAAAATGTTCCATCAGGAGCTTTCTCATAATATTTTTGTTAACGACACAGATTCCCATGCTGGGGAAATTATGATGAGCATCGTCATTGAATTTCACCGAATTTTTTACCTGAAAATTCGGATTACATATAAAATATTATGTTCTGTTGCTTGTTGACAGCTTAGATTTCATATAATACCCTATCTATTAAGAAAAAAAGAAGGTATGAGGTGACTTACTGACGTGGACTTCAAAGGGTCCATCATAGGATTCTCTCTATAATCGATAACTTGGCTTTGAGCATTTAATTTGAAAATTCCGAATCCTAAATCTTCATCTCTTGAACTACTCAATACTGATACAGTTATATCAGCTTTACTGTTCCTGTGAGCCTCTATAAGTTTCTGGTAGTCCATTTTATAAAGGTGGTAGCCAGGAAGAACTAGAAACTCCATGACCGGATACTCCTCGAGCACCCACAAACACCTTCTTATTGCATCAGCAGTTCCCTAAAGAATGTTGAAACGTACACTGAAGCTAAAAATCAAAAAAGAATTTAATGAAGTAGATCTAACTGCAATGTTATTCATTTAACCTGAAACCAGTCATGGTCTTCTGGACTCTGATACGCTGCTATAACTTCAACGAATCCATCTTTTCCAAGACGCGCCCCAGCATAAGCTCTTGAAAGGTGAGAATTTAGAGAAGTAGAGTTAAACTGCGTAAGAGCGTAGATTTTGGTAATGCTGCTATTGATGCAATTGCTGATAACTGCATCAATCAGTCTGTAATTTCCAGATATAGGAAGGGCACCTTCTGCTCTTCGCTTTGTCAATGGATAGAGTTGTGAATGTGAACCATCACCGAAAACAATTGCTGCGACGCTCTGACACTTAAAATGCGTCAATACAATCATAAGATACATTCATTGTTAACAACATACAAAGTTAGGAAATGTAGCAAAATATTGAACTCGAAAAATTTTGACCTGGTTTGCTGGGGGGTACAGAAAAGTTGGACATTCATACTGCTGTGAATTTGTTATCGATAAAATTTTAGGAAAGGCTGTATTGAGGTTTGATGCAGGTTTATAACAGTTAGACGGAAGCCTAATTTTGAGATTGAATGAAGGAGAAAGAGACATCAGATTAAAAGAATTGAATCGATGATAATATTTTTGTTAATTTCCTTAGCTTCTCCATCCCTCCATTAAGAATTTAAGAGGGAGAGTAACAAGGGAATATTTAGGTTTCTTCTTCCTCATGAGATGAATGTCTGCTCATCAAATACCAAGTAAAGTGAACACAACATTTTTAGTGCTTGACAAATCACGTGTATTTTCCCCTGTGACAATGTTTCTCTTGAGAAGACCATTTTGACCTTCCCTTATTTTGGATACCCGTTCGTGTTCTTCCTTCTGTTACATGAATAGAAAGAGTTGTTACAACCAAGGAGGGGCATTCTAGTCTTTACATTTTGGAGCTTTGAGGTACATTGAGAATGGAGTGGGTGCCAAGGTAGGCACTGTCTCCAGCTTTTCATGTATTATAGTTTCTTTGTCCCATAATCTTGTGATCACGTGATTCATAAGCTTAGACACAATTCTATTTACGATTTGCAATTATTGAAATTTCCAAAATCAGATTTTTATTAAAAAATTTTAAATTTTTATTTATGAAATAATAAATTATTAAATTAATTTATTATTAAATATTTAATTCTAATATAATATAATTAACGCATCTCACATGCACCACCCATACCGCTTCGGGGATTATTTCGACGACCATTCTGACCACCACTCTTCTTCGGCGACCTTCCCTACGACTGCTCCGATTCCGGCAATTATTTCGGCAACTATTCCGGTGACCATTCTGATCACAGATTTATAATTTACGGTCACAGTTCAAAAATTTTATAGGTCACAATTAATTCGTTGGTCACAGATTTCAAAATTTATGGGTCACACAGTCACAGATTTCCAAATAAATTGGTCACAGATTTTTTTACGACCACAGATAAAAAAATGGTTGATCACAGATTATTGAATTTTAGAGTCACAGATTATTTTATTGATCACGGATCAAAAAATTTATATGTCATAGGTTACGTGTTTTTAAATTTGTTGGTCACAGATTATTTTTCTAGTTACAAATTATCAATTTTAAAGTTACAGTTCAATAATTAGGTCTCATGCACCAAAATGAACGACCACCGTCGTTGACTCGGCCACAAAACCGCTACAACAATAACAAAAAATGACCATTCCACCATCAGCAAGATCCACCACCATCGCGGCCGCTACATGGTTCGTCCCACTCCAGCTACGCGACCGCAGCCGCCACCAACAACCACAACCACCAATTCACTTCTTCGAATCCGATCTGCAACAACCACAACCAGATTACATCCCTTATACCATCTCACACACAAAGCACCCGCCATAACAACCACCATCACCACTATCGACCACCACACCCATCACATAATAGATGAATAAAAAATGAAAAATGCCCAAAAAATCTAGGCGGCGTTACAGATTTGAGTCGCAACAGAGCTCTGCCGGTGTTTTTGAGGCGACGCTACTGTTGTGCCGCTTGCAGCAGTCAAATAAGGGCGTCCGGACATCGGTAGAGAGGTTGAGAAGAGAGAAAGAAGCTAGGTCCTCGAGATGGCGCTGCTGCTGCTGTCGCCGCTTGTTGTCTTCTATTTGGATAGGTTTCAGTCCGATGAAAGTGGGTACGAGCATTCACCGCCAGCACCCTTCACTGTGGTCTTCGTCGACGGTGGTCACGTGCGAGGGAGAGACAAGAGAGAGATGCGATGGGAAGAGAGAGAAAAAGAGAGATGAGAGTGGTAAATGATTTTTAGGGTTTGAAGGTGAAATTTGTATATATAATAAATAAAACAAATACCTAAAGTTTGAATAAAAAACTTCTCACACTGATTTTTACACCAGTATCTTTAAAAGCCTGGATTTATATGATTTCCTCCTTATTCAATGCATTTACTAACAAGAAATGTCCTCGCAATGTTGTGGAAGGTTTCATGCAGTGGACAAAGGAACAAAACTGAAGATATAGCTTAGTTAATATGCCTTGGCCTAAAATTGTCTTCAAAGTTGTTGGCGATAGAAAATATGGGTCATGGGTCGCCCATGTAGGGTGACCCGACCTACAAGTTATTAAAGTGAATTGTACGGAATGGTTTGAAAAGAATTCAAACTCATAACTTCTTCCACTCCCACCAACTTTCAAGCTTTTACATAACTCCCATAACTTTATCTTGCACTTAGAAGAGAGAAAAAAGTTGACAATAAAATTGTGAAAATTCGTATGAAAAATATCACCAAAATTGAAAGGCACATAGAACCACTATCTTGACATGAAAACTCACAAAAATTGGCACTTAAATTGTCGCTAATAATCCCCTTCCATTGTGATCGGGATTGGGACCATTGAAGTGCAAGAAAATTGTAGATTTGGAGTTTTGAAAAGTAAGGTGATTCAATCATTCAAAAAATCTTGGAATTCATCATTTCAAGTAAATATCTTAACCCAAAATTCATTTTAAAGTATGATGTAAATTACTCCATTGGTATCATAGCTATAAAGTTGAATTCCTTGCTATAATACATGCTTAAATATGCCATTACATGGTACAATTGGGATATTGATTTTATATGCAAAGTTTTGAAACCTTATGTGGTTTTTAATGACATCTTTTGATAATTTACTGTTTTTTATAAATTAATAATTATGCATCAAAATTAGTATTGTTAGAAAGGTATTTTAACAAGCTCTCCAATCATATAAAGAACTTAAATTTTGGAGTTAAAACAAAGCAGTTACGAGGTTTTGAAATTTAGATGTAAATCTAAAGATCGGTAAAATTCGAAACTTCATCACATGATAACTTCTTCTAGACTGCGTTTCATGCTTCCTATTTGGTATGGTTGGATATATCTTCTCAAGACCTTTTCTAACGATATAAAGATCATTAATTTTGGCGTTGAAACGAAAAGGCTATGGCATCCCGAAATTTGGATGTAAATCTGTTTTTTTGAAAGAAGATTGGTAAAATCCAAAATTTCATCACATGATAATTTCTTCTACACTATGTTTCATGCTTCTCATTTGGTATGGTTGGATAGATCTTCTCAAGACTTTTCCAATGATATAAATATTATTAATTTTGGCCTTAAAATGAAGAAGTTACTATTTCGAAATTTTGTTGAAAATTTGAATATTTTGCATGTTTTTTTTTTTTTTTGCTATATTGACTCTCCAACAAATGTGTTAATGTCTCAAACGTGGCCTTAAACATTGATTATGTAAAATCAGACTACACAAATGAACTCAAAAAGTTGAAATTAGTTGGGATGACCAATTGAAAAGTTTTTTTTAGAACGGTGTGGTGGCTCTAACGCACCCCATTTTTTAAAATTAATTTAAGAAAATTATTACAGATTGATCCTGCAAGTGAGGGCGCGTGAGGAACTCGATTTTAATTCCAAAAATTGTAGATTGGTTCATGAATTATTTTTGATTTTTTCAGTATAAGTAAATTAATTTTTGGTTAGTTAAAAATATATATTT